CATATTCCACTTAACCCACACTACAGAGCGAAACATTTTGAAATTTTGAACTATATAAAATTTAAGCACGGTTTAAATTGAAATTATAGAAGCTCTACGTTGGTTTTTTTTAAGGAAAAACATAAAAGTTTAGGGGACGTTTGCGAAAAGAACACAATCAACTTGGGAAATAACGGACACATATTAAAAAATATGTTGGAGATTTCAATGCTTAAGCCTAATCTGCAACTAAGTTTGTTTTCAAATTAAATTTCTCAAGTCAGGACTTTTTTCTTAAAACGTTTCCTAGTCAGTCAGTATTTCTTCATTTTATATGTACCTACTGCTGCGCACTTCAATTGATAAGTGAGTGATAAGATATTTAATTATTTTAGCCAATTATATATATATTTCCTACTTTTAATTAAAATATATACGAAAATCTCATATATCAATTTACCTTGCGAGAGTATTAAATGTTCGGTTACACCCGAACTTAGCTTTTCCTTACTTATTCATAATATTTTCAACTCGGAAAACAAGGTACTTTTTTAATTCGCTGTCATTTTTTCAGATTTTCAAATTTTTTATAAAGCTTGTGTCTAGTCATAACTGGATTAAAAACATTAAGTAAAAAACATTTTTTTTAGTTTCACGGTGGTTGATTTAAAGGTGCGTCAAATGCAGAGTTTTGAAAAGCATGATTGGCTTTTTTAATAATTTCGACTTAACCATTGAAATAAAAACAAGAAAAAACGTTAACTTCGGTTGCGCCGAAGCTATAATACCCTTCACAAAAACAAAGGCCCCTTACAAGAACTTGATTTCGAACGTTCAATTTGTATGGCAGCTATATGATAAAGTGATCTGATCTGACCAATTTCTGTGGGGAATAATTTGTTGCCTTAAGCAATAACTCGTGCCTAATTTCGTGAAGATACCTCGTCAAATAAAAAAATGTTCCATGCAAGCACTTTACTCCGATCGTTCAGTTAATATGAGATTAGATTAATGCTTTAAATAATAATACATGCCAAATTTCGTGAAGATACCTCGTCAAATGAAAGAGTTTCCCATACAAACACTTGATTCCGATTGTTCAGTTTGTATGGCAGCTATATGCTATAGTGGTCCGATATCGGCCGTTCCGACAAATGAGCAGCTTCTTGGGGAGAAAAGAAGTGTTCAAATTTTCAGATCGATATCTCAAAAACTGAGGGACTAGTTCGCGTATATACAGACGGACAGACGGACGGACGGACAGACAGACGGACATGGCTAAATCAACTCAGCTCGTCACGGTGATCATTTATATATATACTTTATATGGTCTCCGACGTTTCCTTCTGGGTGTTACAAACTTCGTGGCAAAATTAATATACCCTGTTCAGGGTATAAAAATGTTGACGAACCCCTTAAATTATGCTCAATTTTAATATGCAGAAATTTCTCCCAATGTATGCTGTGCATTCACTTACACATCACAACATCAACGAACCAGTAAATACACTTAGGGTATTTTTTAAATCTCACAAAGAGGAAAGGAGAGAGGATTATTAAATTAAGTGAGCATCATTCGTCAATTGGTCTTCTAACGCATCGACGTAAATGTCGAAAAAACATTTTAAAAGAAAAAACAATAAAAAAGCAAAGCTTTACAGAAATTGGTTAGAACATAAGTTACCGCAAAGTTAGTCGCTAAGCAGCTTCCCCAACTTATATACCGCCATTTACTAAGTTAAAAAGCGTATGAATACATTAATATTTGAACAGATACAAATGTACTTTTATGTCTTTTTGTATGTATAATGGAAGAAAATTATTATATATCCCCTCTCCGTCTAATAATTGCTGTTCTAATCAATTAAATATTTCGCTTTACTCTCTCTCTCTCTAATATTGTGTTGATTTTCTACCTTTAAGTAGTTTTAGAATATCGATATACAACCGAGAATATATGCTTCGGCAGGCACGAATACATAGAGAGAACTAATGTTATAATAATTTTCATTTAATTTTATATTTTACGAGTATAATGGGGGAAGGCATACTCGTTTTTTTTTTTGTTACTGTATTATCCCTTCACGCTACTTACACAGTGTTCATTTTAAATGAAGCTTATGAAAGTAGAAGTAAACATTTTTATACTCTCGCAACATGTTGCTATAGAGCATCTATAAAATCGAAATAGATATGGAGATATATATATGAATGATCAGAATGACGAGACGAGTTGAAATCCACTTATCTTTACGCTTTGCTACATATGTTCATTGGCACCCAAAGGAGTGCGGTATTGTAGATGAGTGTAAGTGAACCACTGGCAAGGCCACAAAACGCAATCGCATTTGGCCTATAGCATTCGGGGAGAATATCTTTGTGATACAAGCCTGCCCTTGTGCCAAAAATAGGCAAAATCGGGTCATTTCCCAATACCTAATTTAAATATTTTCGAATTTCCGGTTGACTTTAAACCACATCTATCGGTAGAAGCAGTGTATCTTTTTACATGCGATTGTAAATAATGAATGCAATGCTTCCTACTTTTAATTAAAATATATGCGAAAATCTCACATATAACTTTACGTGGCGAGAGTATAAAATTTTCGGTTACACCCGTACACTTCTATTGTTGTCCATGCATACGTTCTATCTATGATTTCTTGTCCATTTTGTCACTCTTTGGCTTTTGTCGCTTTTGATATTCATTGTCTATTGTCTAGACATCAATGTTTATTTCATGCCCATTTCATTGTGGTTTCCTTTGCATCTTTTTTGGAACCTGATTATATTATCTTGATTGCCCAAACTGAATTCTTTAGTATCGTCAGACTGTGAAAGCAAATAAGTAATGACAGATGTATATGGGCCAGTTCAGTATAGTCACATGGGTTCAACTGAGTGGTATTAATTTCTATTAGAGATTTAAGTGATCTTATGATGTATATTTATGAAGCTGACTTATCCATATAGGTCCCATTGACTTACCAAAGAGACTAATGGCGACCGAGTAAAAGGAAGATTTAAAAACCCCTATTTTCGGAAATAGCACTTGTAGGAGTTGTTTTAAATTTCACTATTTGTCTACTAAATTTCCTGTGAGATTGAATCACAGTATTATAATACATATATGCCCTGAGTTTCGGAGGTACGTAAAACATTACCAACAGACTGTTAAGTCGGTGCAAATAATATATAAAATCAGATTCAATGCCTTTAAAACTTTCTTATAAGCTAAAAACTTATACTAACCCAAAACAAAAATTTACAAAGAGAGTTGTTTTGACTTGGAGTGAGTTATATCCAAACCTGAGGATAAGGCCGTTTTATTAATTTTCAGAAAGTAATTGAAATATATTTTAAAAAACCTAGTATTCTGTAAAAAGTTAAAAATATTATATTAAATTAACTCCATTTGTGGAGACCAAAAAAACTTGTTTGAATTATGGGTGTATGCATTAATTCGTGCGGTTTTCTAAGAGAGGGCTCTACTAGTATTATTTCGCGTCGTATTCATCTGTGGCTATATTCATTTCAAAGGTACTGCCATTTCGCGTCGTTTTCAGTAGATATAAATTGTTTGAGCGTGAACAACAATTTGTTTCATTCATTTGAAAATGTCGAAATTTGTACCAGATAAAGTGTTTTTGCGGGGAGTTCTTCTTCATTACTTTAACATGAAGAAAAGTGCTACCGGAAGCCATCGTATTTTACTGGACGTTTATGGTGACCATGCTTTAGCCGAACGAACGTGCCAAAAGTGGTTTGCACGGTTTAAAAGTGGCAATTTCGACTTAGACGACGGAGAATGACCCGGACAGCCAAACAAACTTCAAGACGAAGAATTGGAGACATTGCTCGACGCAGATGTATGCCAGACGCAAGAAGAACTTGCAAAATTATTAGGAGTTGATCAAGCAACCGTTTCCAGACGATTAAAATCATTAGGATTCATCCAGAAGCTTGGAAATTGGGTGCCTTATGAATTAAAGCCAAGAGACGTCGAACGTCGATTCTGCATGTCGGAAATGTTGCTTCAACGCCACCAAAAGAAGTCGTTTTTGCATCGGATTGTCACTGGCGATGAAAAATAAATTCATTATGATAACCCAAAGCGCAAGAAATCGTATGTGAAGCCCAGCCATCCATCAACATCCACGGCAAAGCCGAATATCCATGCTGCTAAGGTTTTGCTATGTATTTGGTGGGACCACAAGGGTGTGCTCTATTATGAGGTATTGAAATCGGGTCAGACGATCAATGGGGACGTCTACCGAAAACAATTGATTCGTTTGAAAAAGGCCATCACGGAAAAACGACCAGAATATGCGACCAGACACGAATCAATAATTTTTCATCATGTTGCAAGGCCAGTTAAAAACTATTTGGAAAACTGTGGGTGGGAAGTTCTACCTCACCCGCGTTATAGCCCAGACATAGCACCTTCCGATTACCACTTGTTCAGATCAATGCAGAATGCCCTCACCGGAGTACGCTTCTCTTCAGAACAGGGTATCAGAAATTGGATTGATTCTTTCTTGACCTCCAAGCCGGAGAAGTTCTTTTGGGATGGAATCCACAAACTGCCAGAAAGATGGGCAAACATCATAGCTTCCGATTAGCAATACTTTGAACATTAAATTTATAACAATTTTTTCACAATAAAGTCTTAATTTTCGTAAAAAAACCGCACGAATTAATGCATACACCCATGACATTAAAACTTTATTAAAGAAATATGAATACTTTGTACTCATATGTTCACCTTCGGCTTCTATCATAGTTCGAAGTCTTCTATTCAAAGAATGCGCCAAATTGTGTATAGGTTCAAGTGCTCATATATCCTGAACCTCTTCAGGAGAAAGACTTTTTCACGACTCTACGATTTTAAAATAAAAATTTAAAATCTTATTAATAGTCTCTTAAGAGAAGTAATTAAGTATTATAAGACCTAATTAATTATTACATAAAATAATTTACGATTATGCTTATGTAACACATATTCCATTAATTACTTTCAGATTTCGGGACATATCAGAAAATCAGCTCCAACAGTGAAAGTGTGACACAATTTTTGTAGAAATTAAAAATGTTTTTCAAACTAAGTAAAAAATTTCAACAAAACAACGAAGCATAGTAACAAAAAAGAAACGCAACTGAAGCTTTTTATATAATAAATTAATTTAGCAAATTTTAAAAAGTGCTGAAAATTAGAAACTCGTAAAAAATTTTTATATTTTTCTGCAACAGTGTGTAGTACATACACACCGTTAGTTAATTATATAATAATAACTAGGTGCTAAATTAATAAACTAAATTCTTATTTCCACACATTTATATCATATTCGAAAGAAAGAATCCGCTGTAGAATGTTTAACTAATTGGTATATTGTATTCGTCTACTAATATCCGGTAATTTAAAAATAAAACCTTAAAATATACAAGCACAGCGAACGCCACAGCTGCTTTTCCATACTCCCTTCTGATGCTTCGTAGACAAGTGAATTACACTCAGTGGATGCAAACAAATACAAATACTTTTAAAGTTACGACAATAATTAAATTAACGCGTCAAATATCGGGAAAATGTTGTAACAATACCAAATATCTTGAATCAGTCGCCCAACGAATCATACTTTTTGGACAATTTTAAACATCAGAAACACGCACGGAGTCGCAAACAATAAAATCGGCGAACACGGCTAGTTTTGTTTAAGTTTTATATAAACGGTGGTGTTTGCATTGCGATTAAGCAACTTTTAACTATCCACTGACTTATATATCTATGCAACCTTAATGACTGAAAACTTGCAGTCCCAACCCCACACTATAGTTTGTACGTGTGACCTCAAATCATCAGTATTCATTTAAGGTTAGGCTGATCCTTAAGGCGGTGATCGCACTTGTCAACCAAAAAAAACAAAACTCCTTTATTCGACCATATAGGTCGACAAAGCGCCTAGAAGTCTACACAAGTCTGCTTAGTTATTTAATTCTATTTCCACCAGCTCAATAGGATATCTGAAAGTATAAGCTCCCAAGTATTTAAGCGTTGAGCGAACAGTAGGCAAGCGTTTACTGAGAGTAAGGAGCTCACTGGCGCTTTTGCGATCAATTTGGATTCAAAAGGATTTTGCGGCAATACAAGAACCGATGATTGCCCAGCGGTGGCCAAGCTCCCGTGAAGCCCAGCTACCCGGTAGTAGTACGCACGAAGAGTGCCGAGCTCCGACCCGTTCCCATTCTACTGACGACGAGGCTAATATGTCTGTCGCTCAGCAGCTTTACAGTTACCTGCGATTGTGTTGTGGCCTGGCATCCATACTAGTTTAATCACAAAGTGACTCAATGGCATTGATAACAAGGTTAGGAGGCATTCCATAACCAGCCTTGAATGCACGGTTAGTGGACTCAAGGTTAGTATAGCCTCTCTGCTATCAGAGTGGATAGTCACTGAAGGCGGCTGCACTCCGGAGCACCTATCTACCGCTACGTTAATGACAGCAAAAAAAACTCGATACATACAAATTGACACATTTATTATTCAAATTATTTTTCGAAAGCAACTAAAAGAAAGCAAATATTGTCGGAAAAACCCGATCAGTTGGAGTTGAAGGGTACACAAACAAATTTTTAATCACATGTTAGAGTGAAATTTGTTTTCAAAAACTCTGCCATATATAATTACAACAGCAAAATAAAGGCTACTTCATGAAGTAAATAAAATTCATATTTACTTTAAAAAAATATATTACTTTCATACACTTCTAAGAACACCCATTTGTCATACATTTTTAAATGTCTTTTCACTAAAGCACGTTAATGCTGCTTTGCCTCGCAGATAAAACGGAAAGTATTCCACCGAGACATTTTCCTAAAACTTTCACTAAAAATCTACTTTTATAATTTTTCATAATTTGCATTGTTCTTTTCCAGTTTTTCCTATCTCCACAATCATATGTAACCTAATTACAATTAAGCCGCTTGTAGCTGAGTGGAAGCAAAAAAGTAACAATGAAATAATTACAGTTACAAATTTTGATGTAGACATATCACAGACGCTGTAGTCAACACATATGTATGTATAGGTGTTACTTACGTACATATGTATGTGCATAAAATGGTTGCCAAATAATAAAAAAGGATACCGCATTTTGAGGATAATGCATTTGGTTGCCATTGTGCAATTGTATGTGTTTAGCTTTTTGTCTGCGCGCGTGTGAAAATTCACTGTGCGGCGGTTGAATAATATTAAAATGTATTAAGGTTTTTTACAAATTTTTTACAAATTTTTTACTTCATATTCAATGGTATGTCAAAGTTGTTAGTTGGCTAGTCGCTGACCACAGTAACGTATTTATAAGCAGGTGCAGGGGAGCATTTATATGCGGGAACATGGCACTTTTGCTTCAGTATAACGAATTTAAAATTAAACTTAGTATCTCAAGCCTAAAAAAAATAAAAATACAAGATATAATTTGCTGAAAAGCTACGAAATTTAAAAATATATAGAATACTTCATTATTATGTCGGTATGTAAACTACCAAATATTTACTAATAGATATTTATACCTTGAACAGAGTATAATAAGTTTACCAAGAAGTGTGTAACACCCAAAAGAAACGTCGGAGACTCTATAAAATATATACATAAATGCTCAGCATGACGAGCTAAGTTGATCTGTCTATATAGATCCGAATTCCTGACAAAACTTTGGATTAGCAATGCAATTTTTGAAACTCGATCCCTATGTAAATTCTCAAAACCTCACTATGCATTGCCTTGTTTCGGTGTGATGCCAGCCATAATTAAAATGAAACTGATTTGATTTCAAACAAGCTAACCAACTTAACGGATTACTATATTAAATCTCAAAGTTATTCAATGTTTCCATATATGACAAAATTAACTCCGAATTTGATAATGTTAAATAATGCAAATGCTTGATAAACTTCATCCTCGCTTCCTTAAACAAATTCTGAAGCTAGTGAAATTGATAAAAACTTCTTCAATAGTTTAGTAGTACTGCTTTGATGTGTTTAATCACGAATTGTTTTCACCTACTTTTTTACATTTAGGTACAATATATCTCAAAAAATCAATTGCTTGAAGAGACTGCGTAGCTCTGACTTTCGACCAGTTGACAATACACAGATAAAAATAGAAAGGAGTTGACTGAAATGATTTTTTACAGAGAAAAAGGTCAAGCAAATATATACGTATGGACAATAAAACAAAGTTAAAAAATATATATATTTTAAGTTTTATTCGAAAGTTTTTATTACTAGGAAATTTTGTCAGTGCCAAAAAAGTTCGAAAATGCTTTAGAGGGGTAAATAAGTGAATAAACAAGTGAATTTACAATGGTATGTGAATTCTAAGCGGGTTAGCTGTTTAAATTAAATATCAAATATTGCATGGATATCAAATATTGTACCATGGCGGTATCGAAAAAAGTGGTGATATTAAATACATCTTATAATTTTTATACAAACGTACAAGTGCATTTAACAAATATTGTATTAATAAGTGACAAAAACTTGTTTAGTTTAAACAAAATGATTATAATTGCATATTACGTATAGTCAATTTACGGGAGCGTTTTTAATTACTTTTTTATACTTTTCAAACCTAATCAATATAAAATTCTGAAAAGATTAAATGTGAATAAATCCCTTGGCGACACTTTGTTAAGCCTCTTCGTTTTTTATACTCTCGCAACCTGTTGCTACAGAGTATAATAGTTTTGTTCACCTAACGGTTGTTTGTATCACCTAAAACTAATCGAGTTAGATATAGGGTTATATATATATAAATGATCAGGATGAAGAGACGAGTTGAAATCCGGGTGACTGTCTGTCCGTCCGTCCGTCTGTCCGTCCGTCTGTCCGTCTGTCCGTCCGTCCGTGCAAGCTCTAACTTGAGTAAAATTGAGATATCTTTATGAAACTTGGTAGCGTTTCATGGTACCGTGAGACGGTTGGTGTGCAGATGGGCGTAACGGACCACTGCCACGCCCACAAACGCCATTAATCAAAACAAATAACTTGCCATAACTAAGCTCCGCAATAAGATACAAGACTGTTATTTGGTACACAGGATCACATTAGGAGGGCATCTGCAGTTAAAATTTTTAAAAGTGGCGTGGTCCGCCTCTAATAAGTTTAATGTCATATCTCCTAAACCGCTAATGCTATAATAACAAAATTCACTGGAAGCAAATATTTTTAGCATTTCTTTTGACGGTGTGAAAATAGTTGAAATCGGGTGCAACTCCACCCACCCCCATATAACGGTACTGTTAAAAACTACTAAAAGCGCGATAAATCAAGCACTAAACACGCCAGAGACATTAAATTTTATCTCTGAGATGGTATAAGATGACTTTATAGGAACCGCGTTCAAATTAGACAGTGGGCGTGGCACAGCCCACTTTAGGTGAAACCATACTTGAGATCTGCTTAACCGATTTCAACCAAATTTGGTGCATAACGTTCTTTCATGTTTCTATGTCATAGTGCGAAAATGGGCGAAATCGGATTACAACCACGCCTATTTTCCATATGACACCATTTTAAATACCACTTGATTCTTTCACTTTCCACTATGCAAATCAAGCAACAATGATTATATCGGCGTAAAACTTTGCGTGAATAATACGTTTAAAGTATGCCACCTTGTGACCAAAAATTTTCTAAATCGAACCAAAACTGTTCAAGCCCCTAAGTACTAAATATGTGGACCCCAGTGCCTATAGTTGACCTTCTACCGAAAATATCAGTCAATCCACAAAGAAATCTCAAACGAGTATACCATTTGACTTTGCGAGAGTATAAAATGTTCGGTTACATCCGAACTTAGCCCTTCCTTACTTGTTAATGGACATATTTTTATATCTGTATGTATAAAAAAAGAGCGTGTATACGCAAAAACACACAAGTGCTAAATAACAATAAACATATAGTATATATTTATGAGAGTATGTATTACGAAGTATTCAAACCAAGGAAAGATAGTGAAGTGTTCGCATCTAGAAACACACTACTCCTCTCATATTATAAACATGTATTCTTGCGTATATGCACTTGTATTGTTAATCCTATATAAATAAATTTGTACAATAGATTCAATATATTTCAGGTAAATTTAAGTGCATAGTATATTTTGTATCGCATATGTCGAGAGGAGTGATGCAGATAGCATTTCAACTAAAAGTGAGTTTTATTAAAACTCGACATGCGAAACTACTAAATCAGAACATGTTAACAGAGACAAATATACTTCTATTTGTAAATTTCTATCTAGAAATATATGTACGAAAATAAATACACATTTATACATGTAGAAGTATACTTGGAGTCGCATACATATCCTTTGTTCGCTCATGCTATAGTAGAGTAAATGTTAAATTAAGCACTAGCCAAAACATATGCCACAAGTCTTAGAAATATTTCTAAATACATATGCCTTCTTTAAATGCTTATATATACTATATGCTATAGCCCTTTATAGGTTTTAGATTAAATGCATTTTGTGGCTGTAGTAGTCTGATTACCCCATACGAATTTTCCTATGATGCCAAGTAACATGTGTGTAAGTTTGATCAATACATACTTGTACATCTTAATTTTACTTAAGCTACAGCTTGCATGGACTGACGGCCAAACGGCAAACAGTTACTTGCAATTCCACTCGAGTGTCATCCTGATCATTTACATATACGGGTTGGTTGAAATGTTTCTGCGCTCAAAATGAAAAAATACTGTTTTTGCTACGAAATATACTTTTTTATTCAATATAATCTCCCTTAACTTCTATACACTTATTCCAATGATAAAATGGTTTTATGCCATTCCTATAATGACTTTACGGAAGCTCTGCAAAATACCCGTCTACGGCTGTAATAGCTTCTTCATTCGATGAACAACGCTTTCCACGAAGGAATTGTTTCCGGCCAAATCTGATGTATATGGTGGATGCTTAAGCAACTCGTACTTTAATTCGTTATTCGTTAAATTTTGCCGTTGTTAAAATACCTTTATGAGCTGGTGCATTGAAAAATTGATGATGAAAAATTATTTTTTTGTGCTGTAAACCAGGTCTTTTCTCACGAATTTTTTCATCCTGCTAATCGAAAAGGCTGCAATAATATTCAGAGTTGATTGTTTTACCTTTCTGCAGATAATCAATCAACAAAATTCCTTTTTTATCCCAAAAAACTGATGCCATAACCTTCTTTGCTGATCGTTGTGACTTTACCTGCTTTGGAGCTGAACAACTAGCTTCAGTCCACTCTAAGCGTTCTTGTTTCAATTTAGGATAATGGTGGTAGATCCAAATTATTTTAATTCTGCTTAAATCGCTCCAAACTATGCTGAGAAATTTGTTTTCGCTCTAGTTTATGTTGAATTGTTA